CGTCGTTACTCATGCACATGTTGAGTAACATGTTCGTTCACGCATTCGGTTATTGTTGCTGGCCGTCGAACCGGACGCGAGGTTCCGACGCGGATGGCTTCTAGTCTCTGATTTAGTCTCCACCATACCGCCTGACGCTGCAGCCGATGATATTCTACGAATCATAGAGGCAGCCCTGCTTGCCGACGTACGCCTGGTCAAATGGTTCGTCGTAGTCCATGAGTGTGGCTGACTGCTAGAGGTGGGGGGTTGGAGGAAGTGACATGACTCGCATGAAAACTTTGAAGCGCGACGAAATCAGCGATGAATTATGTAGTCGTTTCGAGACACTGATGAAAGCTTGGAGAGCTGCTGGTATTTGCAGAGTTCCACCATAGCTCCCACAAGTGAGTCGTTCGAGGAAGCAAGCTCCCCACTCTCGGTGGAGGGTTCCGCAGGCACCAAAATAGGTCGGGCTTGGATGACCCTGTCATGGCGCCTCCCGATGAAGCTGATCTAACCAGCACCGAACCCGCCGCGCCGGATGACAGCGCGGGTGACGCGATGCCCCCAACCGAAAGCCTCAGCCCGTGAGGAATCTTTCTGGTCAGGCGATGCGCCCTGGGGGATGGAGAAAGCCTCACTGATAATACTGGAGAGGCAACTGCAGGCCAACGTGAAGCATGGCCTTGCTGTGGTCTCAAACACGGACAGGGCAGCTTGGATTCGAAACAGGTACAGCACATACCCGACCCTGCCTGGCGCACCCGGCTCCCAAATTCCGCGCCCGTCGTTTTTAAACGCAGGCCATTTGCTGCCCGCAGTTCTGCCACGAGTGATGGTGGACCCGCCCAGGCTTGCCAGACTCAGCACACCGTGCAGGTCTGGTCAGCGTGTTGGAATATGGCGCAGCACTGGAGATCGAGTCCCGAGTCAAAAGCTGTCGCTCTGCGCTTTTTGCATGCTGTGATGATGGCATCGTACCGTGACGAGCATGCTGTTTTAATAAAACGAAATGGGACCAGTGGGCGTGAATGGCAATGCCTTGCAGCGGCCACAGATTGAGGTAGCACGAGGTACCTTGCAAGCGGGCCGCCGCTGGATTTGGCACCCTGAAGCGTAATCGTGCTATGCCTCGACCGCCCTTGTCGGCACCACCGCCTTCTCAGGCATGTGTGCTGGCCCAACACCGCAACTCGCTCGGCCTCCGTCCAGCTCACTACCCTTCACTTTTGCGTGGGAACACACTGCATCGTTATAGCAACATTGTCTGGTTCTCCCAGCCGTTGATCCTGTGCGTGACAACCAATCGTTTCAGCATCGTACCTTGATATCCGTGCACGCTTGCTCGCTGGATTCCGGGCGCGCTATGACAGTGACAGTCTGACCTGTCTGACGGTCCTCCGAGCAGCGTCCTTTGTTCGTTCCTCCGTCCTCCTCGAGCCTACCAACGCCTCACCCAAACGCCAGAGACGTCTGTGACGGGTCTCTGCCTCGGACCCGCCTGCACTGCTTGCTCTTCGCTCAGTGCCTGGGTGCTCTCTCCATGCATTGCCTCTCCTAGCAACATCCGGGTGCGAGCTTCACACCTCGTTCCGCCTCTTTGATTCCATAGACGCCAACAACACCAACATGGCGACCTCGCTGCTCCCCCCGGGCGGTATAGCCCTTGTCGGGGCTCCGGATAGCGACGCCGGACTTAAGGACGACAGACGACCGCCTGTGCAGGCCATGCAGGTGGACATTACCCAGGACATTGTCGACGAGCTCCTGGCCAGTGTCAGGAGCGGAAAATCACCGCAGATAATCTTCGGACGGACTCCAGTATGTGTGCACGCTTGGTGTTGGGTTGCTACCTAGGTGTTCCTGGGTGGTTCGACCCGGAATGGGGGCTGGCACGAGCTGGGCTAACCACAACAACAGCAACTCAAGTATGGCGACAAGACGCACATGCTGCAGAGCAGCAGCGAGCTCCATCGATACGAATTGTACAAGTCCAGCGGGCCTGGCGGCCCGGACAGCCTCGAGTTCGCGGGCATGATCAACCACAGTGTGATGGTACACAAGGCGGAGGACGTGACGGCAGGCGTAGACTCGGCGCTGGAGCAGCTACGGAGTAACATGGCTGCGATATCAGAGTTCAAGGAAGCCAACAAGTATGCCTCCCCGGTATCCCATGGCTGCCCACGATCTCTGGCATCAAGTCAAGAGACTCGAGCACCCCTGTCGCGGATGATTGCCATGATGATACCCAGTTGTGTATACCAGGACTGACAAAGATTGCTGCAGGACCATTGTCGGCGATGCTGCTCCCGGGCGCACACCAGCCCATCGCCGCTTCCCGTCGACGGGCTTCAAGGCATCGCACCTCGCTCCTTCCATGCTGGGCTCGCCATCGCTCAGCGCGTCGTCGTCGCCCATGCACAAGCGGGCCCCGACCTCGCAGCCGAGCAACAGCCATGACGTGATCGTCAGCGCGCTCCGAGTGCCCATCATCCACCTCCTTGCGCGGGAGCCCGCCACCGAGGCCTCTCTCGCCGCCACCTGCAGGACGTCGCTGGTCAACATACGAGATGTCCTGCCCAAGATAGCCAAGCGCTCCACTGCCGACGCCGACAAGTGGCAGCTGACGGACAAGTCGTTCCGTGAGGTGAATCCGTTCAAGTTCCCCTACCAGAGCGCCGAGGACCGACAGCAAGCCATTGATGGCGCCATCAAGTCGTTCGACCGCCAGCGGCTGGCAAAAGACGACAAGCTCTGGCAGATCCTGCTGCCCCGTGACCAGAGAGGCCAAGGCATATGCTTGTCGCGTTCGACGGTGAAGGCGCCGGAAGCTAAGCCCAAAGCGAGCACCCCAATGCACAAGATATCTGATCTCACTAAGAAGAAGACGGTCACGAAGAAGGCTGCGGAGAAGCCTGCAGTTGAGAAGAAGCCCAAGGTCGCCAAGGAAGTAGAGATCAAGCCGAAGTCGTCCATGAAGGAGAAGTACTTGGCCCGTGAGAAGGCAGCTGCGGCCGCGAAGGAGGTGAGCGTGAAAGAGGTGAAGGAGGAGCAGCCCACAATAGCAACAGCCCCAGCCTCTTCAACGCCTTCGAGCTCAACTCCTCGCCCCGTCGCACCTTCCAAATCTAACACACCTGCTACCGACGCCTCGAAAATACGCAACAAGAAAGCACCCGCTTCAGAAGGCACCACCAACCCACGCGCAAAACCCAAGATGAGTGGCCGCGATTCGCAGCGAGATCGCCCCGCCAACCGGCCCTTCAAGCCCACCATGCCCATCAACACCAAGCCGAAGAATCCCTCGCCGCTGTCCGCCTCGCCGCCTGTCAATGCCAGCGACTTCGAGGACTCGCACCCAGTCCACAAGGCGCTTGCGGCAGCTCCATCGCCCGCCAAGTCCGGTGGTAACTCTGACCGCTCGCTCAAGCGCAAGGCGAACGACATCGACAGTGACATTCACAACCACAACCTGGCTGTGAAGAAGCCGAGTGGCGACCGCGCAACTCCTACTCACACCCCCTCTCACGCCAACGGCAAGGCCAACGGCTCTACCCCTTCCAGTACTAGCTCCTTGAAGCGCAAGTCGGACGACTCTTCCTCCTCCAACACTCCCACCACTGCGCCCAAGGTCCGCAAGGTCGCTAACATCGACACCGGCCTCGCCTCGCGCTACCACCACAACAACCCACGCGCATCCCCAGGCGCCTCCTCCACATCGACCACTTCACCCTCCATGCCTAACTTGAGCTTCCGACAGACAGTCGAGCTCTCGCAGAGGTTCCAGAAGTACTATAAGAAGTACGAAGAGCTGTACTGGCAGCTGACGGAGGCGGAGAAGCCCCCGACTGAGGCGCAGAGGAACGACCTTCTGAAGATGCACAAGAAGCTCGAGGAAATGAAGAGAGAGATCAAGGCGGGTGCCGTGCACCGTTGAGCACCACACACTACCCGTCACTCACGACGCTGCGCTTAGTGCGCATACGACTTACTACATTACAACCTGCATATATACCCACGGCCTACCGATCTCATAAGGATGGCAGCGAATTGCATACCCACAAAAAGGTGTTTGGGATCTTTCCTACTGGCGGCGTTTGGATGGCAAGACCGGTCACGGATGCATTTGGGATACGGTGTTTTTGTACATTTTCTACTTTCCTTATTCATCAATACGTGTCGCCCACGATCGCTCTCTACATCCACGACTGCGATGATATCTTAATGCTGTCGGTTACAGAAAAGGATCATCTACGAACAATTGCATGGCGCAGTAGCTCTGTTTCAATCACTCCAAATCAATACCATCACAGATGATGGAACCTTTCTCAACATGAATAAACCTCCGTGTGAACTTTGTCCAGAAATGCCGATCACTTTCTGGTGCCTATACACTGCCTGAAGTCCGCTCACGCCACATGCTGGGTAAAGTTATGGATGCCGCAGCCTGCATAAATACCATATCCAACACGTCAAGACCCCGAATACCAATATTAGAAACAAGAGATCAAAACCAGGTGTCTGATTTGGGTTGTTCAACTTGTAATTCCAAAAGCACTCATCTATAGCTCGATGGCATCACAATCTAGATCGTCGCGCCGATCGCCGCTCCTAGGCCCGCTCCCCGGCAAAGACGCCCAACGCCCAGATCCCAGCCGCGGCCCACGATGGTGCAACAGCCGATCGCGCAGCTCTCGAGATCTGCGGCAGCTACCCCCCTGCCAAACGTCATCCATTCAGCCCTACGCGCTAAACCTCCGCTCTAACGCTCTCTTGACGCCATCTTGAGCACACCACCACCCGTCAAGCCGTCAACCATTGTGTGCACGTTAATAACCGCGCGTGCTCCTGTTACCTCACCACTCATGCGCTTACTACGTAATCTCCTCTCCAACTTTACACGTTCAGCACGAACAGCTCCGAAACGCGAATACGCTCACGTTCACGACGTGCAGATTAAGTGGGAAAGAGCGCCAGTTCAGAATCACGGGGAAAAGCAACGGGAAGAAGCTGGCAGTATGTCTCTAAACGGTACGTAAGATCACATAGTTCAATGGGGAAGATGAGACAAGACATCGGCATCCCACATTGGGTCGTCTCAAGTCTCAACGTTCGGGATCCAGCCAAACGGTTACGCGACATCCCGATCCTGTGTTCATTTGCATGAAACAGTTTCGTCGCGGACTCGGGATCTTCAGGCACGCGTTTCGCAGTCTCAACGTCGTTCATGCACTGCGACGAGCGTTTGCGATTCGATGATGAACAGGCGGCATGTCCATGCTAGACATATACAAGGACACCCATCACCAGCCCACCACAACTAACACACCACAGTCTTCAAGCAACCCCTCGCGCTCCACTCGACACAGCCCCTAACCGGCTTCACGCGCTCAGGCTACTGCGAAGTGCCCGCCTCGGACGCCGGCAACCACGCCATCGCAGGTGTAGTATCGAAAGAGTTCCTCGACTTCTCTGCCGCGCGGGGCAACGACTTGCGCCAAGTGGGGCTGACGGATGGCTGCAAGTGGTGTCTTTGTGTGAGCAGGTGGAAGGAGGCGTTTGATGCGAGGACGGGCATGGATGATAAGAAGGTGCCGAAGGTTGTGCTCAAGGCGACGAATGAGAAGGCGTTGAAGGGTGTGGCGATGGATGATTTGAAGGCTTTTGCTGTGGATAAGGAGTAGACGTAGAAGGTCGGGGTAGATGGGGTGGTATTGCTATTGGTGATACTGAATGGTAGATATCGTACATGGATGGAGATACAGAGATCTCTTGGGCCATGACACAGTGGATGTCCTATCTTGTGTCGTCCCAATAGCTCGCAAATCTCATCAAAGACCCACAGCAGCCATCTCTTCCTGCACCTCATCACCCTTTTCAATATCCGCAATCCCCTCATCAAGCGCCACCTCCACATTCTCCAGATCCCTTTCCGTCATCTCCATCAGCACCTCAGGATGCGCTCGCAGCTCCGCAATCCAAGCCTCAAACACCTTCTGGGCCCTCTCTTCAGCACTAATCTCAGCATCCAAGTTGACGGCAATGGCAGCAGTATCTTCGGCGGTAGCGTTCGCGATTCCAGTCGCATGCATCATGGTCTTCTGCGGCTCAACCAAATCCCTCCTTCCCATGACCCTCACACCGGCGTAATAAATCTTCGCACCGATACGGCACAAATGTTTGTGCTTTTCCTTCCTGCATTGGTCGTACATGTCCTCCTTGAAGTTCTTGTCGATTTTCTTGCGGGCTTGCTGTTGGGTGGCTTGGTTAGTTTGTGGCTCTTGTGCATAGGAGAAGACCGAAGAAGAAAACCGGCGCGGAATTGTAGAAAGGAAGGAAGGAGTAACTCACATGACCCAGCCTCCCCTGCCTCTTGAAGTTTCGATACGCAAAGTCGTGTCGGATACATGCTGGTTTGACTACATGACGTTAGATCTACCACTCTCTCTCTCCGATATTAGTGAACTCACAGTCCCACTTAAACGGCCTGTCATCAACGCCTGTACAAGCATCCGTCACCCAGTCCAGACCCGTAACACCGTAAGAGGCCTCATGGTTATGCCACATGTCCATGAAGTGCCAGAGAGGCTCGACAAAGACCATGTAGTTCACGGCCTTGGCTTCCAGGGTGTGGGCCGTCATGTCTTTCTCGAGTTCCGCGGCGGCTTTCTTCTTGTCTTTGTGGGCGGAGGCATTGGGGATGAGGACGGCGGTTAGGGTGAGGAGGTTGAGAAGGGGGGTGTTGAATTTCATGATTGGCTGGTGGCTGATGGCTGGTGAGAATGTGGATGGGAAGATGGAGGATCAAGGTGCTGGGAGATGTGGAATATAAATGGGGGCATTTTATCGCGATGCTTGGAACGGTAAGATAGGGGACAGGATTTCATGATGTATTCAGTCTGGCATGGAGCCTATGGGAAATATACAGTCCAGGGATGGAAGGGAGTCTTGATGACGATGGACGAGGGGGGTACATGACAGGTAGACGTGGATGACTTATCTTGTCTGGAAACCGACCCTTGAAAGACTACACGTATTCGCTGTGCTCGATCACGATGGAGAAGAGGGGAGGACGAGGAAAGGAGCGTGATGATGCATTTCGTCTGGAATTGAACCCTTCAAAATTACACGTATCCCCAGTCTAGAGTTTGTAGAACCAAAGAATACACCCTTGGCGCCGACCAGAAACGCCCATCGCTGATGCCTATAACAATGATAAAAACGCGACCGAATAGCACTGCGCCTTCTTATAGATGACTGTTGGAGAACCACTCGATGCATGTCCTCGTGATCTGTATTACCCCTCTGTTCCCCGTTACACGTCATGCACTCAACCAACTAAAAGACCCTTCACCCCGCTGCCAAACCAAACCAAACTCCTCGCAGCGAGTAGACCCGGGCCAGCATATGCAGGTGGACCCATACCCTTCAGTCCACCTACCGCCCTGATTTCCAAGTCACCAGCCACAGGAACGTTAGTCCTGCCCTTTTGCAGAATAGCAAAGCGGAGCAGAACCTCCAGACACGTTATGCAGATACTCAGGACAATGAGTACGATGATGATCCACGTAATCTTGGTCATCTTCTTGTCGCTGATGGAGTCGGAGAGGATCTCGCCCAGATCTAAGAAGACTTGGCATCGCTCGTTGAGAACTTGGATGCGGGGTTTGATCTCGAGGTATTCGCGGACGGCGGTGTAGAGTGGGTGGAGGGTAGGTTCAGAGTCCCAGAAGAAGCTTGGGGTGTCGAGCATATTCGATGCTGGGAGAGAAATTAGTAATTGTTGGGTTGTGAGAGGATGGCTCAATACGTACACAGGTTCACCTCGACACGGCTGGTGAAGAGCTGTCCAATCATCTTGACTACATCCGTTCTCCTCATGCCCAACTTTCCGGTAAGTGCTAAGCGCTTCGGTACGTATTGCGCGGCGAGCATAGTCCTGCTCATGCTTTCTTCAAACAGACTAAGCTTGGTGCTTTGCGCGATGGCGTGGCTCATGGCTAGCTTGATCATGTGATCTCCGCTCTTGAGGGTAATCATGTCGTTGTAGACGCGGGGACGCTGGATCTCGGGGTTGTATTCGAAATGGAACTCTTCCGTCTCAAAGTCGGACTCAGCCAAGGGTCGGGATGCGATGTTGATTCCGGTAGCGACGGCAGAGAAGGTAAGGTCGGCCAATATGTCCTTTTCCTGCTTCTCTGTGAAGTTCCAGAAAACGACGACACCGTACGAGAAGACGAACATCTCGCCAAAGGTCAGCGCATTGGGGGCGATTCTGGAGTTCTCGGTCGAGTCTCGGCGGTCGTGCATGCCGTCCCAGGGCTGGTCGAGCTCGTGGTCGTCGCGCACGTAGTATGTCTCTTCGTCGCCAAAGTAGCCTTCGTGGTGATCGCGCTGCTCGTTGCGCTCGATTTCTTCGTCGAGCACTGTCTTTCCGCCTGGGCTCTTGAGGGCCGGGCTACTGCGGACCCGGTAGCCATCGTTTCCGGGCAGAAGCGGGAGGTGGTATACGGTGTAGAGGCAGTCGTCGTACAGCTTGGTGCGCGCATTGTGGGTGTCCTTGACGAACTGAGCGGTGCTCTTCATCTTATAGGCCTGGGCGGTGCAGTAGGCCGTGACGCGCGACAGCTTATCCGTCCGCTTCGCTTTGGGCAGGCGCTCGGCATAGCTCTTGTCGTTTGGCCCGCCCTTGGGAGTCCGTCGCGCAAGGTCTTCGTCGGTGGGCGGGCCCTCGTACTCGTCGTCGTCAAAGTCGCCCTTCTCGTCCTCCTCCTGGCCCTCCGTCTCGGGCAGCAGGACGAGCTTTTCGCTGAGCTTGCTGGAGCGCGTGGGCATGTGCTGGGGGATCAGGCGGCCAGTGAGTCTGGGATCGAGCGGATGGCGTCCGCTGGGGGTGCGCGTGTGCATGATGGGGCGGTTGGCGTTGCCAGGCGGGCCGCGTCGCTGCTGCTGCGAGGGAATGTCGGAGGCGTACTGCAGGATGTTGTCCACCGAGATCAAGCGCGCGCCTGTCGCCTGTCGCTGTCCTGCGCCGGGTCGTTGGGGTGCTCGGGGTGCAGCGTCGCGGCTGTCGGTCATGAGCACCGTCGGCCCTCTCTTGCTCTTAGCTGTTGGCCCGCTCATTTTGCTGGTCGCTGCTATCCACTCCGCTAGTGCCTGTAGCTGCAAGAAGGTTTGGCACGTCAGATGTCGCGATTGCAAGCGATTGGAGGATTAGAGCGTTGGGCTGTAGAGTGCTGGTAGCGGTTCCGATAGAGCTATACAGGGCGCGACTGGCGATGCGCGTACTCTGCCGACAATGGACGTAGAGGGCACTTCGACGTTATGAAAGCCGGCCGCGGTTCACGTCATTGCGCCTTGGCGTGCATGCACCAACTCCACACCTAACGGCTCGCCAAACGTCAATCAGGGGTGCATACATCTCACGCTTGACTACTTTCACATGGCATTTGAGCGCTGCTAAAGATGAATATCAATTGGTGGGGGTTATATCTCAGTTGAACTCGCTATTTATCGTCTCACAGAGAACGCCTGAACACCATGCTCTAGAAAGAGAACAGCCGTCCATTACCAGAACATGGCCGATCCAAGCATCGGTTCAAAAACAAAGGAAAGCCTGCTGGAGGTCGGATGGCGACGAAGCGAGGGGGTATCTTCTCCATGTCCCCGCTGGTCTTGATTCCCTCCGCGCTTCGCATTCTGACAACGCCAAGAATAAACAAACATTACATGTGGTATCAAAACAAGCCATGCAGCTGCACTGGCTTACAGGCGCTTGCCTGGCACGAAGATGAAGAGGCAGCAGACAGCTACCGTGACAGCCAGGAACATGACCATGACAGTGATGGAGCGCCTGTTCAGCGTCTTCTTGACGAATGGCTCCCTGATGCGGTTGAAGTCGAAGAAGGTGTACTCGCTGAATCCAGCCAGGGCGAGGATTGGGTCAAGCATGTACTGGTGCGTGAAGATGAGGTAGATGGCGATAGTGAACGGGAGGATGATCTGTGCAGAACATTAGTTGACTCTCCACCGTATAACCGAAAGGTGACATACCCAGCAGCGCGTGCTTCTTGACTTGTCAAGGAATATAAGAATGAACGACGTCCACATGGCCGCAAAGAAGCTGATCAGTCCTACTATGAGACGGAGCATCATGCTCTGGGGTACAAGGTTGCCGAGGCCCTTGTTCTGCAAGAAACCTGGGTATGCGTCGCGCTCCATGGCTTGGAAAACGTAGTCTTTGGCACTGTCAAAGAGCTCGGGATCCGCACGCTGCTCTGGCCCTTCTATGGCCTCTTGAACCTCGGTCAGGATACTCTGGGGAATTATTATTTCCCGCTCGGACCCAGGGAGCAAGTACGTGTACAAGATCTTCTCTGCCGACGCGCGCAGGTCCTCTCTGCTGGGCTGAGTGTTATCAGCGGACGAGTCCTGGCCGGGTGAGCTCGAATCACCCGGAGTGTCTAGTAAGTTCAGGCTTGGACGCGGGAACTCTCGGCTCTGATTGCTACCCTGACTGTTTTGTGGCGAGTGGTTGCGGCTGCCGCGGTCGGAACGAAGGAAGGCGGACAAGCGCTGGTCAGACAGATTGTCACCTTTCTCGTTAGAAGGGCCTTCTCCAGCGTTGTTCAACATGTAAGATGAACGCCTACTGTTTTTCTCGAGATCAGGAGTTTCTTCTATCATGCTCCTGTGTAACCGTCGGACGTAAAGCCTGCATAGCTGCAGATGTTGCGACACATCAAGCCTGTTGGTGGTCAGCAAGGTCCGAGAGCCTGGACATGGGATTGTCTTACCAGAAGTCCAAGTAGTCGACAGAGCGCTGCTGGTCACGCATGTAGATGTAGAAGGAGAAGAGATCCAGTGGTGGCCTGGTTGTCCTACTAAGGACTTCGAAGAGCGTTGGGAATCGATTGCGGTGGGCTGGAGGCACCGGAGAGCCGGCATCCTGGGGGTGCGACATGACTGGGGTGAGTCGGGAGATGTGGTGCTAACGAGAGGCGCGCGACGATCGTCGCTGGTGGGTGAAGAATGGCAGGTATCGATAGACGATGGACGATAGACGATAGACGCAGGGTCTGGCGTAGGCTGGCGGCGGGCGGTGTGTTTGCGTTACTAGTGCTGTGGTTGCTGAGCGAACGGCGGCGAGCGTGGTGGTCCGGCCGGTCGCGACGCCAGGGACGACGTGTTGATAGACGGTGGGAAATGGGCGAGGGTGGTCAGGTCGCGGGGAATTGAGCTTTGCGGCGTCGCGTCAGCGCCTCGGAGCGTCGTGAAGCTGGCGTGGCAGCGGGAAATTAGGAGTGAAGTCGGCACCTCTAGCTTGGCGCGACGGTTGGCGGAACAGGGAGGCAGCGGCAGTGGCTTGCGATGGGCTTGGGTCGCGCACTGCACGACGGCGCTGGTGTCGATAAGAAGCAACGGGTCACATGAAACTGCTTTCACTGTGCTGCGTCCGACTCGCGTCCTGTGGATGAGCTGGTGGATCAGTTGTGCGCGGTGACGATGATGA